GAGGTTTTCGCTATAGGGCGCGTGCGCTCACCAGAAAGACAGAGAGAGACAGAGAGACAAAAAGCGAGAAATCACCCCCCAGGGGAGATGGCCACACTGCAATCCCTTCTCCATTCTCCTCTCGGGATCTTGGGCACGCACACACATGTGCCTGGCGTGAGTTTAAGCCACTGGGTCCGGGATTCGAACCACGGTCCACTACATGGGAGTCCAGCGACATAGCCATTACGCTAACTGCTGGTCCCTCTATGGCTTTCTTAATAAAAAGGAAGAGGTCAAAGATCTCACAGCCAATCAAAGGTAGAAGCTGTTATTCTCCTAACATTTTACTAGAAATGTATTATTAGCATTGTAATCCATCGTTTCAAAGCAATGAAGACACTGGCTCTCACATTACGTTTGCGAGTAGTGTAATTGACATCGACAAGGAACACAGCATTCTAGTCCCCATCCAGTGAGATGAGCAGGTTTTTACAATAGTACCCCCAAAACCGTATGCATACCCTGTATAAAATATTTTCCCAGAAAAAAATTAAATAACTTCCAGTAGATAGATGATGAAAATATTTAAACTTTTCCCCATCTAGTCCTCATAAGATATGGGTACATCTCATATGCTTCCACACTGGATGATTTGGTGGAAGAAAATAAGTTAAAGTAAGAATTGTTATTTTTCCAAGTGCAGTTTTTAACACTATAGTTTAAGTTCCTTCACTTTTCAAAGGCCAGGAAAATACCCCCAAAGCATTAAGATCAGACAAATCTCATCCCTTGTCTCTGCAACAGGTTCTGAACTCTGCTAAAAAGGGGGCTGGGTAGTTGTCACAGGGATGAAACGCGATGGAAAGACGCCAACAGGTGTAGACAGAGGATGTAATTTTTAGTGTCCACACACAGGAGGAGTGAAGTAGCACTCCAGAGTCCTCAGGCTCTGTGCCCCACTAAGGAACTCAGGTGATCTTTCTCGCCAGATTGGCATGAGAAGCCAGCTGGGGTGTCCATCTTACAGGACAGCCTACTATGCCATCTGTTCTTGAGATTTTGATGACCTTCTGACCAGCTCGAACAACCACAGTAAATTATCGCTATCTGCTCTAGGGTAAATCTGGGTTATCTTTCTAGGATGAATATATCCTTCTGAGGACTCTTCTTACAATGATATATATATAGTGTTTTAATTTTGTTTCAATAACATTTACAACAAATAAGACAAATACCATGAGTTCTACTCAAATAGTCTTTTTTTTTTTTTTTTTTTTTGGGGGGGGAGAAAGATTTTTTTGCTATAGGGCATGTGCGGTCACCAGAGAGACAGAAAGAGAAAAGTCGCCCCCCCCCCCATCTTGGGGTGGGGGAGGATGGCCACACTGCAATCTCTTCTCCTCCATTCTCCTCTCAGGATTTTGGGCATGCACGCACACGAGCCTAAGGTGAGTTTCAAGCTTCCAGGTTCAGGACTTGAAATGAAGTTGACCATGTGGGATCCAGTGCCTTAACCACTATGCCACCTGCTGGTCCCTAAATGGCAATCTTTAAGAACACACATTTATTGATATATGATAACAGATGAACATGTCTTTACCTGAACAAGTTTGAGGTTCCAAGGCGGATGGTTAATCAAACCTTCCAACTGAACCTGATTGGCTACTGCAGCTTGCAGTTCCACATAAGTACTGCTATCCAGTTGTAGTCCTGGAAACAGGTCATTGATTAAGCTGAGGAACAAGGGTTCATCTTCGTCAACCTAAGGTGGCATAGGTTAACATAAATTATTCATTCAATCAACAAACAAAAATCAACCTGCTAGGATGTGTGTAGCACTTACCACTTATGCCCAGAGAATTAATACTTTCCCAGTCAGAGTTGTGTCCTTTAATACTGCCTCCTGATCCCTGACACTGAATCCATACTGTGCTGACCCCCCATTCTTTGACATGCAATGTCTTGTACAATTCAGTCTCGGTAAA